GCTTCACTTGTCTCTTTGACGAGTTGTTGTATGGTACTAAAAATGGCGATACTCACTGACGATGCCGACTACCATGCTGGCGAAACGTTTTGGAATGTACCACGTTCACGGTTCAACTTAGGAAATGATCATGCAAAAAATGGACTCCTGACTAGGTGCGTTCCTCTAAGTCTTCTTACCAATATGACCATGTTGCGAAACAAGGTCAAACAACATCTCTATACTTCTAATCGAAGGTATGAAGACCAACCTCTATACTTTTGCTGACTTGAATCTCTCTCGGAGATTGTTTTGGCTTTATTTCCGCTCTTACTAGTTTATCTCTACTTTATCTCTAATAAGTTTATCTCCCTATCCTTAGGCAAATTATGCTGCAAAGTTTAAGATTAATCTTCTATACATGATTTCCTATTGCTTTATCTGCAAGATATGTTTATATATAGTTCTGAGTTCTTTAGCACAATGGCTTGCAGCCTTTCTGCGAAGAAAAGTTGGGTTTCGAAGAATCTCTTGTTTCATAATAGTTGAACTTACTTCCATTTCGAGTGAAAGTGTTTGGTGAAAAGAGTTGAATATCTCTTGAGAATACTTCTCCCCTAGGTTTGATTGGAAATAATATAAGGTTAATAAAGAATAGCTTTTTGAATGGTGAATACATGAGAAAAGATAAGGAGATCTTTCCACATTATTTGTATTTGCCGTCGGGCTTTTCCCCTAAAAAGATAGGTAAACAAGTAAGGAAGTGGGGAATAAAAACGGTTTTCAGAGAAACTACGACACTTTCTTCAGTTATTCCCACTTTTAGAGAGAAAGATGATCTATTATCCAGATCAGGTTGCTACAACATAATGTGTTCATGTGGTTGCTCTTATGTTGAAGATACTTGTCGTCCCATTCGACAAAGGGTGGCTGAGCACAAAAGCGAATGCAAAGGCTGTTGGTTTAAGAATTGGAGCTGGTTGAACACAGGGCAGAAACGGGACACGAGATTGAATGGTCTTAAAATTTTTGTTTTGCTGATTATGGTATGTCTGCGGATAATGTAAAATTAGAGAGGCCATCGAAATTAACCGAATAGGTAATACATTGAATATAAGGAATACCGGCAAGAAGTTAAGTAAAAATAACTTGTATAGAAGTTATTTGACCTTGTTTTTGCAACTTGGTCATATCAGTAGGAATACCTAGAAAAACGCACCTAGTTCAGAGTCCATAGTATACATGATAATTTCTAGAGTCGGATCGTGGACGTGGTACATTCCCACACATTTCGCCGACATCGTAGTCGGCATCGTCACTGAGCTTTGCCACTCTTAGCATCACACTACAACTCGTCAAAAGAGCCAAGTGAAGCCGATCCTTTCTCTGCTAAACAATTATGACATCTCTCCTGTCCTGGGCTATTTACCATACCTTTGTCTTCGTATTGCCCCTTTATTATCACAATTTCTTATTTAAATGTGACATGGTGTGCCTTTTTTTAGCGGATTTCATTAGAACTCCCCAAACCCCACTGGTTTTCTCACACCCT